AACAAACCCCAAACCCCACCCAACACCCCACAAACCTCACCCCAACACCCCACCCCACCCCCACCCCCAAACCCCACACCCCAAACCCAACCCCCCAAACCCCACACCCCCAAATCCCACAGCCCAACACACACAGCCCAAACCCCACACACCCCCAAATCCCACAACCCCACAAACAACCCCAAACCCCCCCACCCCCCCAAACCCAACACCACCCAAACCTCACACCAACACAGCTCCAAACCCCACACACCCCCAAACCCCACACCCCAAACCAAACCCCACCCAACACCCCCACAACCTCACCCCCACACCCCCACACACCCCCCCCCCACACCCCCCAAACCTCATACCCCCAACCGCACACCCCCCAAACCCCACACCGCCCCAAACCCCAACACCCCCACACACCCCAAATCCCAATACAGACCCACAAAACCCCAAACACCCCCCCAACCCCACACCCCCAAACACACACACCCCCAAACCCCACACACCCCCAAACCCCACACCCCAACACAGCCCCAAACCCCCCACACCCCCAAACCCCACAACCCAACACCACCCAAACCCCACACCAACACAGCTCCAAACCCCACACACCCCCAAACCCCACACCCCAAACCAAACCCCACCCCAACACCCCCCACAAACCTCACCCCAACACCCCCAAGCCCCACACCCCCCAAACCCCACACCCCCCAGACCTCATACCCCCAAACCGCACACCCCCCAAACCCCAACATCCCCCAAACCCCACCCAAACCCCACACCCCCCCAAATCCCAATACAGCCCCACAAAACCCCCCCAAACTCCACACCCCACAAACCCCACACCCCAACACAGCCTAAAACCCCACACACCCCCAAACCCCACCCCAACACCCCACCAAACCCCACCCCAACACGCCCCCAAACTCCCCCCACACACAAACCTCACCCAACACTCCCCCAAACCCACACCCCCAAACCCCAACACCCCCCCAAACCCCACACACCCCAAAACCCCATACACCCCCAAACCCCACACCCCCCCAAACCCCCCAACACAGCCCCAAAACCCAGCACCACCCAAACCCCACCCCAACACAGCTCGAAACCCCACACCCCCAAACCCACACCCCAACCCAAACCCCACCCCAACACCCCCCACAAACCTCACCCCAACACCCCCAAGCCCCACACACCCCCAAACCCCACAACCCCCAAACCCCACACCCTGAAACCCCACACCCCCACCACACCCCAAACCCACACCCCCCAAACCCCACACCCCCCAAAACCCCACCCCAACACAGCCCCCCAAACCCCACACTCCCCCAAACGCCACACCCCACCCCAACACCTCCCTAAACCACACACCCCAACATCTCCCAAACCCCAACCGAACACAGCCCCTAAACCTAACCCCCCCAAACCCCACACACCCCCAAACTCCACACACCCCATACTCCAACACAGACCTCCACAGCCCCCAAACCCCACCCCAACACCTCCCCAAATCCCACACACCACCCCAACAACCCCCCAAACCCCACACCCCCAAACCCCACCCAACACCTCCCAAACCCACACACCCCCAAACCCCACACACCCCAAACCACACACCACAACACCCCCCCAAACCCCACACAACCCAAACACCACACACCCCCAAACCCCATCCAACACGCCCCCAAACCCCACCCCAACACACCACACACCCCCAAACCCACCCCAACACCCCCCAAGACCTCACACACCACAAACCCCACACACCCCCAAACCACACACCACAACACCCCCCAAACCCCACACCCCCAAACCCACCCCAACACCCCCCCAAACCCTACACACCCCCAAACCCACCCAACACGCCCCCAAACCCCACACCCCCCAAACTCCACATAACCCCAAAACAACCCCCCACACCCCCAAACCCCACCCCAACACCTCCTCACACCCCACACACCCCCAGACCCCAACAACCCCTCATACCCCAACACACCCCGAAATCTCAAACCCCACCCCAACACAGCCCGAAACCCCATACATCCCCAAACCCGACAACCCCCCAAACCCCACGCCCCAACCCAAACACCCACACCCCAACCCAGCCCCCAACCCTACACACGCCAACACAGTCCCAAACCCCACTCCAAACCCCACACCCCAACACAAACCACCAATCCCCACACCCAACCGAAACCCCACACCCCAACCCAAACCCCCAAACTGCATACACCAACCTAAACCCCATACCCAACCCAGCCCCCAAATCCCACAGCCCAACCCAGCCCCCAACCCCCCAACCCACCCCCAACACAGCCCCCAAACCCCACACCCCAACCCAACCCCCAAACACCACCCCCAACACAGCCCCAAACGCCACACCCCAACCCAAACCCCAACCCAAAACCCCAACCCCAACACAGCCACAAACCCCACACACCTCCAAACCCCATCCCAACACCCCACCAAACCCCACACTCCCCCAAACAACACATCCCAACACCCCCCCAAACTCCACCCACCTCCAAACCCCACACCACAACACCCCCCAAACCCCACAAAACCCAAACAACAACAAGATTCCACTTATAGAGCGCCTTTCACATCAGGAGGATGTCCCAAGGCACTGTACAGTTGGTTCAGTACCCGAGTATTGGGGGGGAAATGGTCAGGGTGAGGGGAGGGAAGGGAGGGAGCGAGGAGGTGGGAGATGGTCAGGGTGAGGGGAGGGAAGGGAGGGAGCGAGGAGGGGGTAGAGAGTCGAGAGGGGAGCTGAAGGTACGGTCAAAGAGAAAGGTCTTGAGACCGGCCTTGAAGGAGGAAAGGGAGTAAGCGGCGAAGGCACTGGGGATGGAGTTCCAGAGCCTCGGGGCTGAGAGGTTGAAGGCCACCGATGGTCGGGCGGTTGGGGCGGGGGATGTGGAGCAGACCGGAGCCAGAGGGACGGAGGATAGTAGATCGGAGAGGTAGGAGGGAGTAAGGCCGTGAATGGCCTTGTAGGTGAGGATGAGGATCTTGAATTGCATCCTCTGGGGGATGGGGAGCCAGTGGAGGCGAGCGAGGGCGAGGGTCAGGGTGAGGGTGAGGGTGGGAGTGATGTAGTCGCGAGGCCTGGTGCGGGACAGTATACGAGCTGCAGAGTTCTGGATGACCTGCAGTGTGGAGGGAGGGCCGGGAAGGCCGACGAGGAGAGAGGTCCCATAGTCCAGCCTTGAGGTGATAAAGGTGTGGACCAGAGTTTCAGCCGCGTGAGGGGTGAGGTAGTGGCGATGTTCCGGAGGTGATGGAAGGCGGTGCCAGTTGTGGTGCGGATATGAGGGAGAAAGGACAGCTCAGGGTCGAGGGGAACCCCGAGGTTCCTGATGGCTTTGAGAGGTGGAGAGTGCGGCCTTTGATGCTGATGGTGTCAGCGCCTGAGGTGCGGAGGCGCTGACGTGAGCCAATCAGGAGGGCCTCGGTTTTGCGGACGTTGAGCTGAAGAAAGTTGTCTCTCGTCCAGGACTCGATGTCGGACAGGCAGCTGTCAGGACATCGGGGGTCGTGGAGTTGAGGGTAGAGGAGGAAAGGTAGAGTTGGGTGTCATCCGCACACATGTGGGAGTTAACCCCATGTCTGCGGATGATGTCACCACAGGGGGAACATATAGAGGGTGAAGAGGAGGGGACCGAGGACAGAGCCTTGAGGGACACCGCACGAGACAGTGCGGGGGGTGGAAGAGAAGCCATTCGTGGAAACAAAGTGAAGACGGTGGGAGAGGTACGACCTAAACCACTCAAGGACAGGGCCTTGAAGGTTGAGGTGGGAGGACAACCCAGCCCCCAAACTCCACACCCCCAAAGCCACACCCCAAACCCAGCACTCAAACCCCCACACCCCAATACAGCCCCCCAACCCCACAACCCTATATGAGCCTCCAAACCCCCACACCACAATCCAGACCCCAAACCCCACACCCCAACCCATCCCCCTCAAACTCCCACACCCCAAACCCAGCCCCCCCAAACCCCTAACCCAGCCCCCAAACCCCACACCACAACCCAGCCCCCCAACCCCAAAACCCAACCCAGCTCCCCCAAACCCCCACACCCCTAACCCAGCCCCCAAACCCGCACACACCTAATCCAGCCCCCAAACCACACAACCCTAACCCAGCCCCCAAACTCCACACCCCAACCCAGCCCACACCCCCAAACCCCTAACCCAGCCCACAAACCCCACTACCCAACCCAGCCCCCAACCCCAAAACCCAACCCAGCCCCCAAACCCCACAACTCTAACCTAGCCCCCAAATCCCAACCCTCACCCAGCCCCCAAACTCCACACCCCCAACCCAGCCCCAAACCCCCACACCCCATACCCAGCACCCCAAATCTCCACACCGCTAACCCAGTCCCCCAAACTCCACACCCCTAACGCAGCCCCCAAACCCCCACATCCCTAACCCAAACCCCACATCCCTAACCCAAACCCCCACACACACCCCTAACCCAGCCCCCAAAACCTCATACCCGTAACCCAGCCGCCATACCCCACACCCCCAACCCGGACCCCAACAACCTCTAACCCAGCCCCCCCAAATCCAGAAACCCCTAACCCAGACCCCCACATCCCTAGCCCAGCCCCCATGCAGCTCCACACCCCCCCACAGACCCCGCAAACCCCCAAAATCACATCCTCCACAGCCCCCCTGGAGGTCCCACCTCAACGCACACTCACCCCAGCCCCCCCTCTGCCCCCCGGTGCTCCCCCACTCTGCAGACTCTGACCTTTATAATACTCCTCTGCCTCGATGTACCGAGAGAGACCGAAGTCTCCGAGTTTCACACAGTCAGGAGCCGCTACAAGGATGTTCCTCACAGCAATGTCCCTGTGGAGAGTGTGAGAGAGTGTGAGAGAGAGTGTGAGAGAGAGAGTGTGAGAGAGAGAGTGAAAGAGAGTGTGAGAGTGTGAGAGAGAGAGTGAGAGAGAGAGTGTGAGAGAGAGAGAGTGTGAGAGAGAGAGTGTGAGAGAGAGAGTGAAAGAGAGTGTGAGAGTGTGAGAGAGAGAGTGTGAGAGAGAGTGTGAGAGAGAGTGAAAGAGAGAGAGTGAGAGAGAGTGTGAGAGAGAGAATGTGAGAGTGTGTAAGAGAGAGTGAGAGAGAGTGTGAGAGAGAGAGTGAGTGAGAGAGTGTGAGAGTGTGAGAGAGAGTGAGTGAGTGTGAGAGTGTGAGAGAGAGTGTGAGAGAGTGAGTGAGTGTGAGAGAGAGAATGTGAGAGTGTGAGAGAGTGTGAGAGTATGAGAGAGAGTGTGTGAGAGAGAGTGTGAGAGAGAGAGTGTGAGAGAGAGAGTGTGAGAGAGAGTGAGAGAGAGTGTGAGAGAGAGAGAACATGAGATGGTGTGTATGACTGGTGACACCCACACACACACAGTCACACACACACACAGTCTCACACACACAGTCACACACACAGTCACACACACACACAGTCACACACACACACAGTCACACACACACTCACACACACTCACACACACTCACACACACACAGTCACACACACAGTCACACACACACACAGTCACACACACACTCACACACACACTCACACACACTCACACACACACAGTCACACACACACTCACACACACACACAGTCTCACATACACACAGTCACACACACACTCACACACACACACACAAACAGTCACACACACATGGTAACACACAGTCATACACAGTCACACAGTCACACACACACACACAGTCACACACACACACACAGTCACACATAGTCACACACACAGTCACACACACACACACAGTCACACACACACAGACTCACACACACACATACAGACACAGTCACACTCACACCGTCACACACGCACACAGTCACACACACAGTCACACACACACACACACACTCACACACACAGTCACACACACAGTCACACACACACAGTCACACACACACACACACAGTCACACACACACACACACACAGTCACACACACACAGTCACACACACACACAGTCACACACACACACAGTCACACACACACACACAGTCACACACACACACACACACAGTCACACACACAGACCCCCCCCCCCCAGACTGACCTGTGGACACAGTTGATACCCTCCAGGTACGCGAGAGCTCCCGCGACCTGACAGGCGAAGCTGATGAGGGTCACGACCTCCAGCGTTTTCTTGTTGGCCACGAGGTACGTCTCGAGCTGCAGCAGAGAGCGCAGGTCAGGGGTCACCGCGGGGGTCAGAGGTCAGTAACGGGTCACCGCGGGGGTCAGGGATCACCGCGGGGTCACCGCGAGTGACCGTGGTCACCACGGGGGTCAGAGGTCAGGTACGGACAGGAAGTGAGGTCACTGCGCTCACCTCTCCGTACGGATAGAGCTCCATAATGATCCACACAGGTTCCTCCTCAATCATTGCAATCATCCGCACCACATGGGGGTGGTCCAACCGCCGCATCAGCCCTGGGGGGGGGGGGGGGGGAGGGGGGGGGGGGGGGGCGAGGGGGGGACAGAGAGAGGGGGGGGGGGAGTAGGGAGTGAATAAGATTGGGAGTGAGTGAATGAGTGAGAGAGTGAAGGAGGTATTGAGGGTGTGAGGGAGTAAAATGTGAGTGGGGGAGGGAGTGAGGGAGTGAGGGACAGAGTGAATCAGGGAGTGAATGAGGGAGGGAGTGAGGGATAATAATAATAATGATCTGACGTTGACTGAGTACCTTTCCCCTCTGGGAGGACGTCTCAAAGCGCTTCACAAGACTTACTGTAAAGTGTAGTGACTGTGTGTTTGGCACAACAGGCAGCAGCTTATTTAAGGAGAGCGACTTCCCGCAGACAGACAGACAGACAGACAGACAGACAGACACAGACAGACAGACAGACAGACAGACAGACAGACAGCTGTCACACCTCAGGATAGATAAGGGAGTGGGGGGGGACATAAAACCCATCCCTGACTCTGTGGGGTGTGTGTGACTGAGCTACAGGCGGTGGGTGTGTGTGTGTGACTGAGCTACAGGCGGTGGGTGGGTGTGTGACTGAGCTACAGGCGGTGGGGGGTGTGTGACTGAGCTACAGGCGGTGGTGGGTGTGTGACTGAGCTACAGGCGGTGGTGGGTGTGTGACTGAGCTACAGGCGGTGGTGGGTGTGTGACTGAGCTACAGGCGGTGGGGGGTGTGTGACTGAGCTACAGGCGGTGGGGGGTGTGTGACTGAGCTACAGGCGGTGGGGGGGGTGTGACTGAGCTACAGGCGGTGGGGGGTGTGTGACTGAGCTACAGGCGGTGGGGGGTGTGTGACTGAGCTACAGGCGGTGGGGGGGTGTGACTGAGCTACAGGCGGTGGGGGTGTGTGACTGAGCTACAGGCGGTGGGGGGGTGTGACTGAGCTACAGGCGGTGGGGGGTGTGTGACTGAGCTACAGGCGGTGGGGGGTATGTGACTGAGCTACAGGCGGTGGGGGGTGTGTGACTGAGCTACAGCCGGTGGGGGGTGTGTGACTGAGCTACAGGCGGTGGTGTGTGTGTGACTGAGCTACAGGCGGTGGGTGGGGGTGTGACTGAGCTACAGGCGGTGGGGGGGGTGTGACTGAGCTACAGGCGGTGGGGGGTGTGTGACTGAGCTACAGGCGGTGGGGGGTGTGTGACTGAGCTACAGGCGGTGGGGGGTGTGACTGAGCTACAGGCGGTGGGGGGGTGTGACTGAGCTACAGGCGGTGGGGGGGTGTGACTGAGCTACAGGCGGTGGGGGGGGTGTGACTGAGCTACAGGCGGTGGGGGGGGTGTGACTGAGCTACAGGCGGTGGGGGGGTGTGACTGAGCTACAGCCGGTGGGGGGTGTGTGACTGAGCTACAGCCGGTGGGGGGGGTGTGACTGAGCTACAGGCGGTGGGGGGTGTGTGACTGAGCTACAGGCGGTGGGGGTGTGTGACTGAGCTACAGGCGGTGGGGGGGGTGTGACTGAGCTACAGGCGGTGGGGGGGGTGTGACTGAGCTACAGGCGGTGGGGGTGTGTGACTGAGCTACAGGCGGTGGGGGGGTGTGACTGAGCTACAGGCGGTGGGGGTGTGTGACTGAGCTACAGGCGGTGGGTGGGGGTGTGACTGAGCTACAGGCGGTGGGGTGGGGTGTGACTGAGCTACAGGCGGTGGGGGGTGTGTGACTGAGCTACAGGCGGTGGGGTGTGTGTGACTGAGCTACAGGCGGTGGGGGGTGTGTGACTGAGCTACAGTCGGTGGGGTGTGTGTGACTGAGCTACAGGCGGTGGGGTGTGTGTGACTGAGCTACAGGCGGTGGGGGGGTGTGTGACTGAGCTACAGGCGGTGGGGGTGTGTGACTGAGCTACAGGCGGTGGGGTGTGTGTGACTGAGCTACAGGCGGTGGGGGGTGTGTGACTGAGCTACAGGCGGTGGGGTGTGTGTGACTGAGCTACAGGCGGTGGGGGTGTGTGTGACTGAGCTACAGGCGGTGGGGGGTGTGTGACTGAGCTACAGGCGGTGGGGGGGGTGTGACTGAGCTACAGGCGGTGGGGGGTGTGACTGAGCTACAGGCGGTGGGGGGTGTGTGACTGAGCTACAGGCGGTGGGGGGTGTGTGACTGAGCTACAGGCGGTGGGGGGTGTGTGACTGAGCTACAGGCGGTGGGGGTGTGTGACTGAGCTACAGGCGGTGGGGGGGGTGTGACTGAGCTACAGGCGGTGGGGGGTGTGTGACTGAGCTACAGGCGGTGGGTGTGTGTGACTGAGCTACAGGCGGTGGGGGGGTGTGACTGAGCTACAGGCGGTGGGGGGGGTGGACTGAGCTACAGGCGGTGGGGGGGGTGTGACTGAGCTACAGGCGGTGGGGGGGTGTGACTGAGCTACAGGCGGTGGGGGGGTGTGACTGAGCTACAGGCGGTGGGGGGGGTGTGACTGAGCTACAGGCGGTGGGGGGGGTGTGACTGAGCTACAGGCGGTGGGGGGGGTGTGACTGAGCTACAGGCGGTGGGGGGGGTGTCTCTCACCGGCTTCTGCCATGAACTTCTCTTTGACGTCGAGAGCACAGGAGCGTTTACACGTCTTCACAGCGACCGACATCCTCTCCCCGGCCTGAGAGCAGAGGACACGTCACCTTCATCACCACCACCACCATCACCTTCATCACCACCACCACCATCATCATCATCATCATCACCACCACCTTCATCACCACCACCATCATCATCATCATCACCACCACCACCTTCATCACCACCACCACCACCATCATCATCATCACCACCACCACCACCATCATCATCACCACCACCACTACCACCATCATCATCATCATCACCACCACCTCCACCACCATCATCATCATCATCACCACCACCACCACCACCATCATCATCATCATCACCACCATCATCATCATCATCACCACCACCACCTTCATCACCACCACCACCAGCATCATCATCATCACCACCACCACCACCATCATCATCACCACCACCACCTTCATCACCACCATCATCATCATCACCACCACCACCATCATCATCATCATCACCACCACCACCTTCATCACCATCATCATCACCACCACCACCTTCATCACCACCATCATCATCACCACCATCATCATAACATAACATAACGTAACATGTTGGAGCAGGAGGAGGCCATTCGGCCCTTCGAGCCTCTCCGGCCATTCAATGGCTGATCTTCTAATCTAACTCCAGCTAATAACCTGACCCTACCTTATCCCCATATCCCCCCCACCCCAGCCTCACCCCCCACCCCAGCCTCACCCCCCACCCCTGCCTTATCCCCATATCCCCCCCTACCCCAACCCTGCCTCACCCCCCACCCCTGCCTTATACCCCCCCCTGCCTTATGCCCATATCCTCCCCCACCCCAGCCAGCCTCACCCTCCCCCCCAGCCTCCCTCCTCCCTGCCTTATCCCCATATCCCCCCACCACCCCAGCCAGCCTCCCCCCTGCCTTATCCCCATAGCCCCCCCCACCCCAGCCAGCCACCCCCTCCCCCACAGCCTCCCCCCTCCCTGCCTTATCCCCCCCACCCAGCCAGCCTCCCCCCCCCCCCGCCTTATTCCCATATCCCTTAATCCCTTTCGCAATAAGAAATATCTATCTCAGTCTTGAATATGTTCAAGGACTGAGCGTCAACAGCCCTTTGGGGTAGTGAGTTCCATACATTCACCACCCTTTGAGTGAAGAAGTTCTTCCTCAACTCAGTGCGAAAGGGCTGGCCTCTGATTTTAAGGTTGTGACCCCTGGTTTTAGTTTCTCCAACCAGGGGAAACAATCTCCCACTATCTACTCTATCATGCCCTTTGATGATCTTATAGGTTTCTATAAGATCCCCTCTAATTCTTCTATATTCTAGAGAATATAGGCCCAAATTGGTCAGCCTATCCTCGTAACTCATCCCCTTCATCCCTGGTACTAACCTAGTAAATCTACGCTGCACCCCCTCCAAGGCAAGTACATCCTTCCTTAAATAAGGAGACCAAAACTGCACACAGTATTCCAGGTGTGGTCTCACCAGGGCCCTATACAGTTGCAGCAAGACTTCCCTACTCTTATACTCTAATCCTTTCATAATGAATGCTAACATACCGTTCGCCTTCCTAATTGCTGCTGCACCTGCAGACTAACTTTCTGTGATTGGTGTACAAGGACACCCAAGTCCCTCTGGACGCTAACACATTCCAATCTCTCCCCTTCTAAAAAATAACCCGCTCTACTGTTTTTGCTACCTAGGTGGATGACTTCGCACTTCCCTACATTATACTTCATCTGCCACCTACCTGCCCAATCACCTAACCTATCTATGTCGCGCTGCATTTTTTTAATGTCGTCCTCTGTGTTGACACTTCCTCCTAGTTTTGTGTCATCCGCGAATTTAGATATATTAACTTCGATGTCCTCATCTAGATCGTTGATGTAGATGGTAAATAGCTGAGGCCCAAGGACTGATCCTTGTGGCACTCCACTAGTCACATCCCGCCAATCTGAAAAGGACCCCTTTATCCCTACTCTTTGTTTCCTACCCGTTAAACATTCCCCAATCCACGTTAATATGCCCCCCCCAATTCCATGGGCCCTTATCTTTTGGACTAGCCGTCTATGCGGTACCTTATCAAATGCCTTCTGGAAGTCCAAATAGACCACATCCACTGATTCACCCTTATCTAGTTTACTGGAAATATCCTCAAAAAACTCTATGAGATTTGTCAAACATGACTTCCCTTTTGTAAAGCCATGTTGACTTGGCCTAATTATATTGTGCCCTAAATACCGCACTACCACATCCTTAATCAATGATTCTAAAATTTTTCCTATCACTGATGTGAGACTAACTGGCCTATAGTTCCCCATCTTTTCCTTTCCACCTTTTTTAAATAGTGGTGTGACATTTGCGATCTTCCAATCCATGGGGACTGTTCCAGAATCCAAGGAATTTTGGAAGATCAGACACAAGGCCTCCACTATCTCATAAGCTACCTCTTTTAAAACCCTGGGATGCAAGCCATCCGGACCAGGGGATTTGTCACTTTTTAGTGCTAACAGTTTCCCTAGCACCAATTCTCTACTAATGAAAATTTCCCTAAGTTGCTCCCTGTCCTTATCCCTTTGGTGCATCTCTATTGTTGGCAGACTTGTTGTGTCTTCTAGGGTGAAGACAGATGCAAAGTACCCATTTAGGGACTCTGCCATGTCCTTATCCCCCATTACAACTTCTCCCGTCTCTGACTGAAGTGGACCTACATTTACCCTCACTAGCCTATTCCTCTTAATATATTTGTAAAAACTTTTACAATCAGACTTAATGTTCCTAGCTAGCTTACCCTCATACTCCTTTTTCTCGCTCTTAATGAGTTTTTTAGTTTTATTTTGCTGGTTTCTAAAACTCTCCCAATCTTCAGATTTGCTGCTTTTCTTGGCAGTTTTATAAGCCTTTTCTTTTAATTTGATGCTTTCCCTAACTGCTCTAGTTAGCCACGGATGAATTGCTTTCCCTGTGGTACTCTTATTCCGCAAGGGAATATGCGACCGCTGAGAATTTTGCACTACATCCTTAAATATTTGCCACTGTTGGTCTACATTTTTACCTCTTAATCTTATTCTCCAGTCTATTTTACCTAAATCTTTCCTCATACCTACAAAATTAGCCCTATTTAAATTCAGAATACTTGCCTCGGATTTAACTATATCCCTCTCTAACTTAATGCAGAATTCAATCATATTGTGATCACTCTGCCCTAGAGGATTCTTAATACCTACACTGCCAACTAGCCCTGTTTCGTTACACAAAACAAGGTCTAGGATGGCCTGTCCCCTAGTTGGTTCCTCGGCATGCTGCTCTAGAAAGTTATCTCTCATACACTCAATGAACTCTTCTTCTGACCTACTTTTGCCGATTTGGTTTTCCCAATCTATGTGGAGATTGAAATCACCCACTATTATCGCTTTACCTTTCCTACATGCTCCACTGATTTCTTGATTGATACCTGTGCTATATTGTGATCGCTGTTTGGGGGTCTATAAACCACTCCCATTAATATTTTCTGCCCTTTATTATTTTTTATTTCCACCCATATTGTCTCGACCTCCTGGTCATCGGATATCAGATCCTTCTTCTCCACTGCTTTTATTTCATCCCTAATTAACAGGGCTCCCCCCCACCTTTTTTCCCCACAGTGCCCGTCTTTCCTGTAAACTGAGAACCCTGGAATATTTAACTCCCACCCTAGATCTCCTTGTAACCATGTTTCAGTGATGGCTACTAGATCGTACCCATATGTGTCTATCTGTGCTTTTAATTCATCAGTTTTATTCCGAATGCTTCGCGCATTCAGATATAACATTTTTAATTTCCTACCATTTCCTCTACTCTCTGATTCCTTATCTGCTTTGCCAAGCTTCTTACCCCTAGTTAACATATTCCTATTATCTGGCATGCTATTCTGCACTGTCATCTTTACTTTTTCTAATGCTAACTTATGGTTTCTCTTACCTGTATATTCCCCCCCCCTTTACTAGTTTAAATTCCTATTATTTCGTTTAGCTAGGACATTTGTCACAGCACGATTTAAATGCAGCCCATTTCTCTGAAAGAGCTCTCTTTTCACCCAATACTCGTGCCAATGGCCCATAAAAAGAAACCCCTGAGTTCCGCACCACTCTTTTAGCCATGCGTTCAAGTCCTTAATTTGTTTGTTCCTGTACCAATTGTCGTATGGTACAGGCAGTAGTCCCGATATTACCACCTTCGATGATCTCGACTTCAATTTGGACCCCAGCTCTTCGAATTCCCTTCTCAAGTCATCTTGGCCGACTCTACCGATGTCATTGGTACCGATGTGAAGTACCACCAACGGATCCTTGCCCTCGTATTTTAAGTTATCCTCTAGCCCTGCCGAGACATCCTTCACCCCGGCCCTAGGGAGGCAGCAAAGCCTTCTGGTCTTCTGGTTGGTGCTGCAGATGATTGTGTCTGTCCGTCTAACAGTCTCGTCACCAATGACGACAACTATCCGCTCGTTTGCCCCAGTGTCAGAGGTAGTTTTTCCTGCCCCCTCACCGGCTTCTTTGTCGATACAAGTTCCAAGGATCTCATACGTGTTGTTCAAGGTTAATGCCGGATTTACTACCACTCTTTCCGTTGTCCCCCGACCTCCTGACTGTCCATTGACCTATCCTGACCATAATCAATGTTGAGCGTATATTCCCTCAGGGGAGTGACTGGCTCCAGGATGTAGCTATCCAGGAAGCACTCACTGTCTCTGATACTCCGCAGGGTCTGCACCTCGGAATCCAGCTCCGCCACTCTGAGCTGGAGCTGCCTCAGTTGCAGACATCTTCTGCAGATGTGGTCGCCCGGGGTCAGACTGCCCTCCGTCAGCTCCCACATGGCACACTCCTCACATAGGAGTCCTGTAGCTCAGTGGTTAGAGCACTCGCTTTGCAAGTGAGAGACCTGAGTTCAATCCCCGGGGGGTCAGGGCCAAACCTTAGACAAGTTTCCTTACTCCACACAGAGCCTAATAATAATCCTCTAAAACCAAAAACAATAATAAATTGGTCATTTTCAATCTACGACTGTTTGTGGGACATTGCTGTGCGCAATTGGCTGCCGCGTTCGCCCACAAATATACAGTCAATTCACTTTACAGTGTGTCCTGTGAAGCACTTTGGGACGTCCTCCCAACGTGAAAAGCGCTATATCAAATGCAAGGATTATTATTATTATTATTATAGCACCTGCCAGGCCATTGTCACCTCCTCCAACCTGAGCAGATCAATCAATTAAACTAAGTTCATTAAGTTAATCAGGTTAAGTTAATTAAGTTTTAAGTCAATCAAGTTGATCCAATTAAGTTGATCAAGTTAACGCAAACCAATCAAAGTAAGTTGATCGGGTTAACTCCGTGTGTGATGCGCTGATAGTTCTTAGTTTACTGTTAATACTGACGTCGCTCTTACATCACTTTTTAAGTTTCTCACTGTTTTTTATATTCTCTGCTCTCCCCCCCTTCTCTTTCTCTGGCAATGTTTAACATCTGTCTAAACCCGGGCACAGCTGGGGTGGGGCGAGGATGGAAAGGAAGGAGGGAGGGAGAGAGGGAGGGAGGGAGTGATGAGAGGGAGGGAGGGGGGGAGGGATGAGAGTGGGACAGAGGGAGGGGTGAGAGGGATAAGAGGGAGAGAGAGGGGGAGAGAGAGGGGAGAGAGAGAGAGGGAGGGATGACTCACAAGAGAGAGAAAATGCATTGTTTTTCTGAAGAGCAACTCACAGGTGTTGTGTAAACGCCTTCGTAAACTTGACCAAAGAATCCTTCCCCCAATATCCTCCCTAGAACCACATCACTGCGGGAGATCTCACGGTGAGGACCTAAACAACAATAACAAATGATATTTACACATCAGGAGGAACTTCCAAAGAGCTGGATTTAGACCCGAGCTGGGAGTTGGGATCAGGAGGGGGTCGAGGGTGGAAGGAGGGGGCATAGGAAGGTGACCATAAGCAGCCAAAGAGGAAGGTATTGAGACAGGCCTTGAAGGAGGCAAGTGATGGAGGCAGGGGCACTGTGGGATGGAGTTCCAAAGGGTGGGGGCAGCGAGGCTGAAGGCCCGACCACCGACGGTATTAGCATGTAACAGAAGTAGGGAGGACCAAGGCTGTGGAGGGCCTTTGAAGATGAGGACGAGGATGTTGAACTCTATCCTGTACATTTTGTGGGCGAAATGCGGAAACTAATTGTGTACGGCCGGGCGCCCCAGACAGCCGTGGGTTCGTGATTAATTAATTCATTTTTTTTGAAGGGATTATTACTCCCGGAAAAGTGAGTCACACCAATCAACTAACAACTGGGTTCCTACTCACTGCGCAGTAAACAGGCGTGGGGAGTAAGGAAACCTGCCTGGGAATAGAACCCAGGTCCTCTCAACAACAACAACAAGATTCCATTTATAGAGCGCCTTTCACGTCGGGAGGACGTCCCGAGGCACTGTACAGTTGGGTCAGGACCCGAGCATTGGGAGGAAATGGTCAGGGTGAGGGGAGGGAAGGGAGGGAGCGAGGAGGGGGGAATGGTCAGGGTGAGGGGAGGGAAGGGAGGGAGCGAGGAGGGGGAAATGGTCAGGGTGAGGGGAGGGAAGGGAGGGAGCGAGGAGGGGGTAGAGAGTCGAGAGAGGAGCTGAAGGTACGGTCAAAGAGAAAGGTCTTGAGACCGGCCTTGAACGAGGAAAGGGAGGAGGCGGCGAAGGCACTGGGGATAGAGTTCCAGAGCCTCGGGGCTGGAGGCTCGCGAGGAGAGTGCTCTCACCACTGACCTACAGGCCTCTGGTATGAAGTGTAAAGGAGCATAGAGGAGATATAATAATAATAATAATAATAATAATAATAATAATCCTTGCATTTGATATAGCGCTTTTCACGTCGGGAGGAAGTCCCAAAACGCTTCACAGAACACACTGTAAAGTGAATTGACTGTATATTTGTGGGCGAACGCGGCAGCCAATTGCGCACAGCAATGTCCCACAAACAGTCGTAGATTGAAAAATGACCAATTTATTATTGTTGTTGGTTTTGGAGGGAATATTATTAGGCTCTGTGTGGAGTAAGGAAACTTGCCCAAGGTTTCGCCCTCTGCCTGGAATTGAACTCACTCTGTCACTCTCTCTCTCTCACTCTCTCTGTCTCACTCTCTCTCTCACTCTCTCTGTCTCTCTCTCAACTCTCTCTCTCACTCTCTCTCTGTCTCTCTCTCTCTCTCTCACTCACTCTCTCTGTCTCACTCTCTCTCTCTCACTCTCTCTGTCTCACTCTCTCTCTCACTCTCTCTCTCACTCTCTCTCTCTCACTCTCTCTCTCACTCTCTCTCTCTCTCTCACTCTCTGTTTCACTCTCTCTCACTCTCACTCTCTCTCACTCTCTGTCTCACTCTCTCTCTCACTCTCTTTCACTTTCACTCTCTCTCTCTGTCTCTCTCTCTCACACTCACTCACACACTCTCTCTCTCACACTCCACACACTCTCTCCATCACTGTCTCTCTCACTCCCTCACACACTCTCTCTCTCTCTCCATCATTCTCTCTCTCTCACTCTGTCTCACACACTCTCACATTCTCTCTCTCACGCTCACACTCTCTCGCACTCTCCACTCTCACTCTCTCTCACACTTTCTGTTTCTCTCTCACTCTCTCTCTCACTCTCTCAATCTTTCTCTCTGTCTCTCTCTCTCACTCTCTCTCTGTCTCTCACTCTCACTCTCTCTCTCACTCTTTCTCTCTGTCTCTCTCTCACTCTCTCTCACTCTCTCATCTCTCTGTCTCTCACTCTCTCTCTCACTCTCTCACTCTCTCTCGTCTCTCACTCTCTCTCTCTCTCACTCTCACACTCACTCTCTCACTTTCTCTCTCACTCACTCTCTCACTCTCTCTGTCTCTCACTCTCTCTCTCTCTCTATCACTCTCACACTCTCTCACTCTCTCTCTCTCTCTCTCTCTCTCTCTCACTCTCTCTCTCTCAGGCCGGTGGTGAAGGTAACAGAGGACAATGATGCAGTTTTACCTCGACACAGTATAGGTGAGTCTTTCCTCTCTATCCATCACTCCCTCCCCTCACTCTCCCCCTCACTCCCTTTCTCACTCCCCCCGATCCCCCTCACTCTCCCTCCTTCCCCCATCACTCCACCCCCTCACTCCTGCCCTATCACCCCACCCAACTCCCCCTCACTCCCCCCCGCGCTCTCACCCTCACTCCCTAGCACCCACTCCCCTCCCCCCTCCCTCCCTCCTAGATGCCCCCCCATTCCCCCTCCCCTCACATCCCTCCTTCCCCGTCACTCCACCCACTCACTCCCTCACCTGATCCCCCTTACTCCCTCACACACTCCCCCCTCCCTCCCTTCCTGTCAATCCGCCCCAACTTCCCACTGACTCCTCCCTCCCTCACTTACTCCCCCCTAATTCCGCCCTCCCTTACTCCCACTCTCACTCCCCCATCACTCCTCATCCGTCCCCCTCTCACTCTCCCCTCCCTTATTTTTCCCCTGACTCCCCCTCCCTTACTCCTCCCCTCATTCCCCCTTCCTCCCTCCCCCTCACTCCCACTTCATTTCCCCTCACACCCCCAACTCTCTCCCTTACTCCCCATAACTCACCATCCCTCCCTCTTCACTCCCTCCCGATCCACCCAATTCCCCCCTCACTCACAACCAAATCTCTCTCCCCCTCACTCACCATGTCTCCCCCTCACTTACCTCCAACTCTCCCCCATCACTCCCCATTCCTCCCCCTCGCTCTCCACTTCTTACTCCCCCCTCACTCCCCTCCCTCAACCACCATCACTCCCCCTCACTCCCCGCTCACTCCCACTTCACCACCCCCGATCCCCCTTCACTCCCCTCCTTCACTCCTTCAGTTACTCCATCTTCATTCCCTCCCACCTCCCTCCCTTCCTGTCCCTCAACATTCCTCCCTCCTCACTCCCCTCCACTCCCTCACTCACTCCTCCCTCCTCCCTCTCCCTTCACTCCCCCACTCACTCCCCCTTCACTCCCCCTGCCTCACTCTCTCCCCTCCCTCAATCCCGGACTCTCTGTGTTGAAGATGAGGTTAATGACGAACAGTGAATGTGTTTCAGGCTCCGACATTTATGCTGAGATCCCGGATGAGATGAGCAGCACCTCATCCCCTGCAGGTCTGTAACCCGGAAACTGGGAGCCACAGCTCTCCCTCTACACTGTCCACCACACTCCCCTCATCACAGCTCTCCCCCCTGTACGTCCACACTCCCAGGTCAGGGTTAGAGACACAGTAACGCTCCTCTACACTGTGCGTCCACACTCCCAGGTCAGGGTTACAGACACAGTAAAGCTCCTCTACACTGTGTGTCCACACTCCCAGGTCAGGGTTACAGACACAGTAAAGCTCCTCTACACTGTGCGTCCACACTCCCAGGTTAGTGACAGGTCAGAGTTCCAGATAGAGTACAGTTAGTGTATTTTTCTGCTCTGGCCAGTGCCTCAAACTCACTGAACCTGAGCATAACCTTGGCCCTGGTCTCCACCAATCCCCACCCCTCATCTCCACCACGTTGCCCGTGTCCTGCCATATGGAGGAGTCCTGTAGCTCAGTGGTTAGAGCACTCGCTTTGCAAGTGAGAGGCC